ATGGATGATGAATGGATGATGGATAGATGAATGGATGAATGGATGTTGGATGAATGGATGATGGATGGATGGATGTTGGATGGATAGATGAATGGATGAATGGATGATGGATGGATGTTGGATGGATGGATGAATGGATGATGGATGGATGGATGGATGGCACCATGCTGCCAGGTGAAATGAAGCTGCTTTGACATTAAATAAACACATAATAAATGTGACACACGCTGAAGCAACTTATATGTTTTTCCTCTTCATGATGCTTTTTTGTTGTTGACTGATGCGACTTATATGCCAGAAAATACGGTAGTCCCTTATTGCTTTTATGAAGCTAGTCTTCGCAACTTTGTGTACATGTACTTGCCAGTACATCAGACATGTACTCTCTAAGTAGGTACCAGGTAAATACCTGGTCAGGTAAGCCTAGAAAGTACTGTACTTGCTACGATCCAGGTAGAAATCCACTGAGTACCATGTAATACCTGGTAAGTACTGGGTAAAGGCCAGGTCTGTACCCTGTGTATTCTGAGCTGTTTCATGCTCTGCTAGATTTAAATTAAGTATAATATACCCATCATAAATGAATATCACTTCCTGTTTGAACACATCTACTGTCACAAGTGTTGGTCCGACAGCAGTTTGTTTAAATTAAAGTGTACACGTGTGGTGTCTGCTGTAGCCAGAGCTCACCTGTTCTCCAGAAAGCTGTATCTGCTGGTGTCTGTGGGGTTCTGGGTGGGAGTGGCCCAACATTTGTCCACAATGACCTTAATGAACTCAGAGCTGCTGTTGAGCCGGACCTCCACCACCAGAGGCTGAGTGGAGGACAGGGAGAAGTTGTGGGGCAGGGGGGCCGTCCCACTCATAAGCTGCACCGTCACCTGGAAGGACCCCTGACCCGCGATGACGTCTTTGATGACGTCGTACCTGGAGACGAAAACACACGCCACAGCTGGGATGATGGTGATGGAGCTGGACTGCGGGGCATTTATGTTACAACTTGAGTTTTACTTAATTAGCAACTTATCTCAAGTACCACTGGACCTTAATGAACGAGACTTGCAACGAGTCCGTGGATGTCCATCTACAACTGACGTCTAAAGACAGTCTGATCCAAGATGGCAGCCGTAGCCAGCTGACATTTGCAAACATAAAAATGACTAAACTCAGTCAAGTTGACAGAATTTTACCTCCAGCTCATGGTGGCAGCAACCGACACTAATCCCCAGCACATTATCTAAGCACCAACAGCTTGCAAAAAATATCTGTTTCAAATGTTGCTATTAACTGCCGGAGTCAACGACATGTCTGTCAGCAAAATAACTCACGAAACACAGGACAGATTTGAATTAAACTTTTAGGAAATAATCACTGAATATGCTTTTACAACTGATTAACATTTGGATTTAACTTACTTCAAGATGGCTGTCAGAGCTACCGTATTGTTCAGTGTATAAGTCACAGTTTTTTGCATATTTGTATGCCCCGTGACTTTTACGCTGAAGCGACTTTATGTTTTTTCCCATATTTATAAACCAACATGAGATCTGACCGTCTTCATTCATTCTGACTGAAAATATTGAACACTAACATTTTCAGCCGCTAGATGGCTCTCGAGGTATATGGCATGCCGTTGTGTCATGTAATAGGAAAGTGGCTATTAATGACACAGTTGGCTTGCCATAGATGCCACCTTGGTCCAGCTCGCCTGGAACGACCGTCAAATCAGCTTCATTTCACTGCACCGCCCCGGTGAAACGCAGCTAATTTATTTAAAGTGTGTTTATGAAGTAAAAGTTAGACTGAGACACCTTTACTATAATGTTCAGCAAACAAATAATTGTTTTTAAGTGTTAAATTCTTGTTAAAGTCCTCCCATGCATGCTCCCACGGCCGCCATTTGGCAGCCAATCGATCTTTGGCACAACACCGGCCCACGTTTCCGGGTTGTCAGCGGTGACGCGTAATAGATGCTACTTGTATGGCGAAGTGACGTATTTATGTTTTTTCCCACTTTTTTATTTTTTTATTTTTTTTATCTTTATTGAAAACGTACAAAGCAATACAATAAAATGCAGTATACAGTAATGATATAACAGACGCCAGTTTTTTTTCCCACTTAATTAGACATTTTAGGGATGAGACTTATAGGGCGGTGTGACGTTTACGATGGAAAATACGGTAACTGACTAGCCAACCCAAGCTAAACATTAAGCTAAAGTTTTGTGTGGTAGTAGCTGAGCGTCCTCTCCAACACATACTCTGCACACTATGAGATCTTTGCTCTTCAGTAACGAACACATTTTGTCTGTTGTCAAAACATCTCATGACCCACTGGACAGATTTTTATGAAACTTTCCTTTAAAAATTGGATGAAAATCCACAACCGATTCAGTTTCAGCATCAGTCCAGTTTTAAATCACTGCTCCGGCTAATAAAGTTAACCAGCAGGAATCAGTCATTTTTACAGAAAAAGAGCTCAAACTTGTTGTAGAAGTAACCGAGTGTAACAAAACAGTGTGAGCGTGACATCTTGTGACCACACGTGAGATTACACACAATGTTCACCTGTCCAAGCAAAATGGCTACAAGTCTGTAATTCCTCATCATAAGATGATTTTGTTCTAAATCTCTGGCATGAAAGATGAAAGAATGTTAGGCCTTTAACTAATTAAGTTATGCAGTAAAATATTCAGTTACACACATTTTATTATTGCAGCCAGCACTGAAAACTGTTCCAAAAATAACAGTGAACCTGAAGAGGGAGTAGTTCACAGCCAGAACGGGCCAAAAGCTTAAAATCAACGTAAACTGCATTGTTGCTTGATTTATTGTAAATGTGTTAATAATGTAAGGATTTATAAAATAATACAAACTAAAATGTAAGACCCAACAACTTCAATAAAAACAAGACAGTTGCAAAAACGTGTCACTGAAAACAACAGTCTGCAGTTTGAGAGCTGCTAATTCTGAAACGTCATCAGTTTTAATTTGGCATTTGTTGATGTTTAATGTTTTAAAATGTAAAGTTTTTTATTTGTTATCTATGTGGAGAATCGTTTGAACCTGTCGGGACTATAAGTGGCAAATGCAAATACACAAATTAGACGCCTGGTATTCCTCGAAGGAAAGCGCATCGCCCGCTGCCTTACATGTCAGAGTTTTAGACTAAAGGCCAAGGTTTTAAGATTAAGAGATTAAGAAACATGTAGCCCTGAGATTATGTGACAGGACTGACTCTCAGCTACTACCACACCAAATTTGAGCATGATATCTGTCAAATTGTCCAAGTTATATGAGATGCCTAATGTTGATTAGCTGTGAACATCTGAAATGAGGTTAGCTCTAACAGTTAATCAGTTTCAGATGTACATACAATTAATATTTTAAGAGTTTTATTAGGAGCTATCAATTGGATCATGAGATTGTTAACAGACAAAAGATGTTGGCATCAACAGATATTGCCAGTGTTTTAAGTAACAATACTGCACATTGTGAAGTGCTGTGTCCTGCGCTGTGGGTTATTCCCTGCCACTGCTACACCAAACGTTAGCTTTACCTCTGCTTGGGCTACATTAGCCTCTTGCCTTTGCTGATAAAAGAAACAAGAACATGCGTTACAGTTTGGACAGCAGGTGACACATACCCCATGGAGCCAAAGTCTGCAGAGATCAACGTGCTCTTCAAATAGGTGCACATGATGGGGACTTCCAGCTGGATTCTGGGAACCTCGACAGAGCCAGCCGGTGACGCGTAGGGACCCATGGAGCTGTACAGGACCACACATGCTGTGTAGGAGGTGTCATTCTACAGAGAAGATCAGAGTTCAGCCTTTTTACAAGGCCTGCACATTGCCCATCCCCTTTCATGTTCTGGTTCCAGTTCCAGATGGTCTCATAGCGTCAGGGAGCGCAGCTGCTTGAGTCGCACCCGAGACATAATCTTGTGCACTACCTCGTTGGAGTTTGTGAGATCTTGAGATCTGTTAGCGCTTGGAGTATGTGCTGGGGATGACTCTCAGCTACCATCCCAGACAGTTTGAGCTCAGTTCCATAAAACTCACTGACTTTGTGTTATTGTTGTGTTCACTAAGGTCGATTACTTGTGGCGACCGTCTGGAACTGGATCCTGTTGCAGACGCACATGCAAAGATCATTTTCTGAAAATTTCAGTTCATTAAACGTTTTGTTGCCCAGATTTAGGCCAACACGTGCACACAGCAGCCCTCAGAGTATGAGATGTAAATGACTCTCAGCTACCACCACACCACAGTTTAGCTCAACATCCTTCAAACTGACTGTGCTACAGCCATTTTTGTGTTTATTCATGCTAATTAGCTTCAGCAGCTACACTCACTTGGGTTACTCCAAAAGGTAAAAAGTGTGGAGGTACTCCCACTGATTGACTTTGATTCAAGAGATGTTTTTCTAACAGACAAAGGAGAAAAATACAAAAGAAACTCACATGCACAAGCCTGGTAGCACACTCATCCCAGGCGACAGTCAGCTGAACATGGGTGGCATTGCCCCCGTTGACCACGCACCCCTGCTCGCCCAGGTACAGAGCACCCTCCGGGATGTTGGAGCTCAGAAGGAAAGCTTTGGCGAGAGTCACGGTGATGGCAGCGACTCTGCACTGGACTGAGACGGCGCCCGGCACCAAGGCGCTAATGGATGATCTCGGGGAAGTAGCGGTGCTTGTTAGGGTCTTATTCAACGTTGTGGGGACTGTTGGAGCAGTAGCAGCGTCTGCATGAGCTGTGGCGTTTGCTGGGGGTGCAGTGGTTGATGGGACTGTACTGTTTAAGGTTGAAGAGGTTATGTGTGCTGCTAATGTGGGTGAGGCAGCTTGAACAGAAGTTGAGGTGGGATCAGTGGTTGAGGCTGTTGTCGGAGAGTTGGGAGTGGTGCTAAGTGTGGAAAACACTGGTGGTACTGGTGTTGGATCCACTGTAACATTTGCTGCAAAGGACAGAACACACTCCTGTTAGAAAGCAGCTGATGTGATCAACCTGTAAATCTTTCCTGCTGCTGCCCTGTGGGACTCCACCTTGGCAGGTTCGCCCAGGCCTTTCTGGGTTGTGGTCTACGAATCCATCGAAGCAGGCGCATGTGTAGGAGGCCCAGGTGTTCGTGCACGTCGCCCACAGAGAACAGTCGTTTTCTTCTGAAGCACATTCATCAAAATCTGTTTAAAAAAGACGTTTGTTTTTGATTATTTGTGTTCAGGGGTGCCAGTGCATCAGCATGGATGCCGCCTTATTTGTGGAATGCTGAGTCAGCATTTGCACAGTTCCCTGTTTATCGTTCCTGACAGAGTAACCAAACTGGTTCTGTGTTCGCTCAGCTCTTTTAACCATTCATCACCAGCCATCTAACTGTTTCACTCAATGGGAACACTGGGACTTTTGGTTTTTGGTAACTTTTACAGTCCCAAAATATTTAACTGTATTTAAAATTAAAATCCCCAAAGAAATAGATCCATCCATCCATCCTTCCATTATCTTCACCCGCTTCTTCCTTTATCAAGTTGTGGGGGTCCCAGTCACAGGTGCCCATACATCTCATCGGTTTCTTAAAAGAAACTGTTTTTAAAATCACCTTCAGCACACAAGTTCTATTTTAGGTTTATGCCACTTTTAGTTACCATTTCACTACTTTTAGCTACGAGTCTGATACTTTTAGCCATCATGATGTTCTTTTTAGCTTTCAGTTAGTTCAGCTCATTTTGCTTATTTTTAAAATAATTTTAATTTTAGCATTTGTTTTGGTAATTTTAGCTACTGTTTGGCTAATTTTACCATCTAATTTGCTCATTTTAGTGCCTGTTTTGCAAATTAAAATTTCTTGCATATATATATTAGTTCTAATGTTTGCTTAATTTAGCTACTATTTTATAAATTTTAGCCTCTGCTTTGCTCAACTTGACCTTTTTTTCTGATTGTTTTATCTTCTCGCGGCTTTTTGCTTGTTTAGCGAATTTCTGTAACGTCTATAAAAAAAAGTAATTTCTTTAGTTAAGGGTAAAAACAATGTTTTCTGGTATCTTGAAGTACAACGTTAAAATCCATCCATCCATCCATTATCTTTACCCACTTCTTCCATTTTGTGTCCAGAAAATTCTACATTATACATTAAAATATTGGCAGTTTTGTTCTTAGACTGGGATATCAGTTGTCGCTTCTTTACCTTACTTTGTGTTTTATTTGTTAACACTCAGGTTTAATTTGATTTCACTATGACACTGAAAAAGAGGGGGTTATTTTTATTTTCTGTAAAAAGACCAGTTTATATTGACCATGGCAGAGTCATGACAGCAATAAAGCCATAAAAAATATCCAAGGGGGTGAATAACTTTATAAGCACCATATGTTAACAGACATTTGTTACCCAAATGTTGAGTTCTTAAATTAGACTTGGTTTAAAATAATATTTTTTGGTTGTATATCCATTCTGATTCTATGCACAGAACACTTTCCATGTTTTTAATTCTATTTTAGATGATAATTGTGGTGGGAAACCCCTTGATTATTTTTCATCCACGAATCAAAATTTCCAACTTCAACTTTCTTTGTTAAAAAAAATCTAAGTTTCCACAATGAACATATGCAACAAAATGAAACCAATCTTAAAATAACACTGATTTGCAGAAAGTTGCTCTTTTTGCAGTACAGTTGTTGAGTTTTTGAGAATAAAAGCTCAACAGAAACCTACCACTGATGCTTGTAGTGTTTGTGTCCACTGTGTATTTGGAGCTGTTCGCCAGGGACTGCACCAGAGCTGTGGAGATGTTACTGACAGCCTGGCTTTGACTTTGGCTGAAGATGAAAGTTAAGTCCACGATCACGCTGCCTGAAGAAAACCTTCTGATCTCGATCCTCACTTGACCTGAATCCACCAGAGCCTTGACCTCTGGAGACAGAGACCTATAGATCTGTTGGAGACACAGGAAGCGTGATAGGGTTTGGACCGTGGCCGTTTGGGGATAAGTATAATGTGATCATCTGCTGGGTTTGTGTTTGTGAGGCATCAGTTATCTTCGTGCCTTGAACCTGCACATCCATCTGCACACTAAACTCAGCTCAAGAGTCTGAAGGACAAAACTAAACATACGCATTAAAGCACCTCTTTACACAATATTGTGTGAGTTTTTGTCACTGTTTTAATTTGCATCTTCTCCTGCAGCTTTACAAAAATGAAAAACATTAAAAAAAACCATCAAAATGTGTGTATTGATCAGGAGCAGTGTGCTATAATTACTTTTTGAAGCAGCACATCATAAGGTGGGGATGAAATTCAACAAAAAATGTGAACATTAGACGCTCACGCAATAATATTTAGGTGAAACAAATGGTAAAACCAGCCCTCTTTGGACCAGTACAACTCTACAACAATGTTCAGCTTACTGTAATGTTGCACATCTGCATTATTCTGACAAACTGCTCTTACTTTGTCAAACGAGACGCCTAATAAGGTTCATACATCAAAAGGTGAACTTCCTTCTTTCACTACTAGAGGTTTATTAACACGCCCCTTTTTTGGGTACTTGTACTTTTATGAGTATTTCTTTCAAGTGTGTAATTTTACTCCTACTTAAGTACAATTTAGACCATGCAATCTACTTTGCTTCTTTTAAGTCGCCACTGAGTACAGCCACAATTTGAATTAATATCAAAACGTTCATCTGCATCTTTGTGGCCAGTAAGGCTCTCAGATCACAAACACGCCAATTACATGTGACGCAAGCACCGGACAACTCTGTAGAGCAGAGAGTCATTTATGGACTGAAGATGTGGAGAAAAAGCCAAAATGGAGACAGAGGACAACACTGTGAACAGAGAAATGAGGAGGTACGGTTGAGGACGAGTGTCCGTAGCTGGAGGAATGTTTCATGTGCAGAGGTTGAAAAGGAGACGGGTCCAAACCGTGTTTGATCTGTACGGTGACAACAGCTGACAAGACTTCAGCTCATCTCAAAAACATATTGAGGTGTACGAGGTTTTACAGCTACCTGCATGATACTGGTGTTGTATTGTTTGTGTGTGTTAATAGTTTGTCTAAGTCTGCAGAGATCTTATTGTCACTGCCAACGGTTTGTCTGGTGCTGAAACAAGGCGGAGCTTCTGAGAAATGAGCTTTGAATGTAGTTTTTATATACGATAAATCAAACTGAGTGCCTTCTGTTGACAACACAATAAAACATCAAGTGGTTAAAAAGTATTTAATACTCTGAGTAGTTTTTGAGAAGAGTACTTTTATAACACCAGTACTTTTACTTGTAATTGAGTACAATTTAAGCAGTGTAACAGTACTTGTACTTGAGTACAGATTTCCAGTACTCTTTCCACCTCTGGCACTTTGAGTACCTTGATAAGATGGAAAGGTGCAACATAAGTACAGTCCATTTATCGTTCTGCTGCTCGTTGTTGAAGTATTTTTCATCATCAGTTATAGTTTTTGCACAGTGTGGTGACTGGTTAATTCTACTCTGCGTTTCTGTCTGCCTGTTTTATTAAGAATAACATCCCTGAGTAGCACCTTTGACTTTTCTTTTAATCTGGGGTCCCTTTGCTCTTCTTACAGTGTTTACATCAGAATATCAGCATTGTGTGAACTTACACTAAAGTCCTAAAATTGAACTTTCCAAGAAAAACAAGACGAACGTTGGACTTTTAGGCATTGGCACTTTTAAATTTCTTCAATTCCTAGTTATTTATACAACACATATAATAATTATTCTCTATGTACGTAATCAAAGATCACATTTTTGCTGCAAGACGATGCTCGCCCACCTCCTGTAAAAAGCTCTCTGTGAGGTTCTTGTAGGCCTGGCTGCTGGTGTCCCTCAGATCTGCAGTAAACTGGATGTTGGTGAGACGAGTTGTGGCATCAAGTGTCTGAGCGTCTACAAAATAAAAAAACAACCTTGTTTGGTACAAAAAAACTTTGTTCTTCTGTTTAAATTGATGTTTTATTCATCACAAATAAGCCATAAGCCACACAGTTGCATTGGTTTAATGAAATCACCCATATTTCATCTTTTTTGTGGATCATGCAACATATATTTACAACGTTCATGTTTTTTTTTTTACTAAAAACTTAAATATTTAACCGTATTTTAAAAAGTTTCTGCATTTAGTTAAGTTTGATTACTCTAAAGAGCTCGTGTTGACATATTGCTCATACGTCCTACTGTTCAAACAGCTACACATTTCCAAATAATCTCTTTAAGCAATAAAAAATATTTGCAATAGAATACAACTAGCATCAAGTCTTACCTGTTCTGACCAGCATATGAAGAGCAAGCCCCTGCCTCCCACACGACCAAGGCGTGACAGTAACATTATAAAGCCCCCCAGGCTGCAGACCCGTCATCTCCACCGTGGTCCCCGTGGTGTCCCAAACATGAACGACCTCTGACACCTTGGTCAGAGTCACCTGGAAAGTCTGGTTTGTCTGAAGGGGGCCCGACCAGCAGACAGACATGGAGGTTCCAGTCACGTTCTCAGACCAGAGTCTACTGATGGTGGGAAGAGCTGGGAGAAGATTGTGGAAAGTGGAAAGAAGGGAAAAGGTTATTCTTCTTTATTGATGGTTACAATAAACACGTCTATGTTTAATTGTTTTTATAGAGCATCACAAGTCTGAGAAGTTCATACATTACAGTGTAGCGTAGATATTTAATACAGCAAGACAGAGGGAAAGGATGTAACCAGAAACCTTGCTTTGTGAAGTGATGTTCTGTGAAATAATTTAACGTCTATAAAACATAAGCCAATAATAAAGTTCTATACTTTGAATTGATTTACTCAGCAGCTGCAGAACCAACAAAATAAAATACACAGTTTATGCTCAAAACACATTCCTGTAATAACATATAAACTAAACAAACTGTCACATTTTTTATTATTTTTTCCTCCCTGGCTCTGATCGAGGTGGCTGCTTCAATTTCTCCTCCCCCGTTTTTCCTTCCTCCTGCTCAGCTCTCTGTCTGTCTGAAGCGCCTGGCTCTCATCTCCCGAACATAAATTAAGAAGATTATGGATTTGGTATCGTGGGCGTTCAACTCTATTGATAAGATTTTTTCATCAAAGCGACAAGGTCCTGGGGAACCGGCGTGTCCAGCTGAGACTCGCGCTGTGGGGTACGTCATGGATTCGTGGGGAGCGTGGCAGCTGATGTGCATCACAGTCCTGTCTCAGGAGGATGTTGAAGACGTTTATATATTTGGATTTATGATAGCAGGGACTCTGCTTTTTGGCATCGGCGGGGCTCTATTTTATCGACTTTTGAAGAAGACAGCGGCAGCAGTTTCGACCGTGGAAAAGCTTCTGAGTCAGTGTGAAGGTCTGGTACTCGCTGTGGGAACTTTAAATCGTCTGGTTTACGAGCTTAACCGTAAGGTGGAGGCGATTGAGAATCGCAGACCACCTGCGGCTTCTGGGACTCGTCAGCGTGGTGGGTTCGACCTTCAAGGAGACTCATAGCATGGATCAGTGAAACTAAATTCCACAATTAGGCATTTTCGGAACCATAACGCCCAGATGGACTCAAGGCTGAAGAAAAAAATGTGTCTGCCTGAAGAAAAAACAAAAATCGAGCTTATCTGAATCAGACTCCCAACGGCCTCGGATACAGGTTGACTATCAAATTTCTCCTGGGACATGAGTACCCGAGGACAAAAGCTTCATCTATCGCACAGAACTCTCTGTGCAGGCTTATCAGAACTGCTGGCTGGAACAACATCTTCAGAAACTGTGGCTGATCTGAAAAAACGCTCATGGACAAATCTCAACACCTCGATGTCAAATACAAATGTAATCATGTTTTAATTGAGCTGCTGGTAGTTTTTTTGATGTCTCAAATCGTGTCCTGATAGACAAGATGTGAAAGATCTTTTTTTGTAATACCACTATCTACCCTCACGTTTCTCCCCCTTTTCCTATCTAAGATTATTATCTGATAAGGATAAAATGGCCGCGCTCTCCTGTAGTTGCAGCTTCGTGCACTCCGCCCATCTTTCGGACGACTGTACGTACATATTCGCGTTGTACTTCGGTGCAATTGCAATAAAGTTTATTCTGATAAAAGTGTAATGGTTTGATTTTAGCTAATGCAGCATTGTTTTCCACCAGTATGTTATTTTTAAGAAATGGTTATTTCATAAGACTGAAAAATGATAACTAGCACTAATCTGGCTAGCCGTTAGCCTAGCCTGGATAAAGACTTTTCCTCTTTCTACATCCTCTATGGCTGACGAGGATCAAACTATTGTAAACAAACTGACTGAACATCACTTCTAAAATGAACAGACCAACACTTTAAGTCAGACAGGACTAAGAAACTAAAAGCTAGTTCAAATGTGGCGAAGAGCAAAGTGGATTATTGCCATCTTAAAACAACTGCAAATTACAACAGTTCAGATGAACACTGTTTTATACATCTTTAAAATGCCATCAGTGTTGTACTTTACAAATATTTCTGCAAAAATATCATGAAATTCCTGTAGAAGGTGCCCCGTGCTACAGTTTGCTGCTACTGCTACTTGATATTACAACCCCCCCCCACCCCCCACCAGGTTTTCTACAACAGGCTCAATAATAATAAAACCAAACTAAGCAGGTGTGTCAGTTAAACATTAATCACTTGATATGAAGGGATAGAGTTGTGAAAGACAGATATACGTTGGAAAAGCTCATCTACTGCATGACTACAATGATGCTTGAAAGATTGTGAACACTTGGGAATTTTCTTCAGTTCCGCATTAATATGACTTCAAACATCATAAGCTTTTCACACAAGTCCTAAAAGTAGACAAAGAGAACCCCGTTAAGCAAATGAGACAAAAAAATGGTCTGCAGCAGGTTCTTAAATAAATATAATCTAAACTTAAATGTAGAAAAACACACAACAAAAAGATAAGGTAGCTATTTTGTAGTCCATAATTGTACAGAGAGAAATATTTTTCACAAGTGCAAAACATTTAGGACAGCTGCCAAACCTCCCAACAGTTGACGTCCCAGCAGTTTCACCCCAAGATCAGACCATGCAATGCTCGGAGAATTGCAAAAAAAGAAAAAGCTTCATCCCAGACTCTACAGACTGTAGTTAGCAGAGTAAAGGTTCAGATTTATGATAGCGCAACAATAAATAAAGAATGAAGACGTGAATGGCTTGTTGGGAAAACCTCTTCTGTTTTAAAAGAACACATGACTTAGGTTTACACAGGAAATTCTTCATCTTTTGTGCAGAGGATGCCACGCCAAGGTAGATACATGTCCATGTTCAGTGGAACCCAAATACCTCAAACCAACTGTCAGCACAGCGGTGGAGGAATGATGGTTTGGGCTCATTTTGCAGTCACTGAGTCGACCATGAGCTCGTCTGGAGACCAACAGATTGTAGAGCGAACTGTGAGGACGTGTGTCTGACAGAAGCTTGAACCAGACAAGGTCAAGATGCAACAGAGCAAAGATCCTGAACGCAGCAGCAGCAGAGCTGAGCACAAACACACGTCTGCAGATTTCAATCAAATGAAGGAACGTTGTAAACAAGAGTGGACCAAAATTCATCCACAACGTAGGGGCTGATACCAAAATGTTATAAAAACACAACTGGAAGTTGTTGCTTCATTTTGGCTCAAAATTGTCTAATAAATCATAACGGTGGACAAGGTAAGCCTGTGATCAAGAGGTCGCTGGTTCAAATCCCTTGACTGTTACAACAAAAGTTGGGTGGTGGGAAAGTGTAAGCACCCACTTCTGCATATTTTCCCAATTGTGAGCCCTTGAGCAAGGCCTTTGCAGATCCATCTGCTCCCCCAGACCCCTAGATGGCAGCTCTCTGCTCCACACGTGGTCAGTGGTCGTGTCAGGAAGGGCATCCAGCGTACGACCGAGCGGGAGCAGCCGAAAGAAGGTAAAAGAATAGTAATACGGTGGATTCTGTTGTGTGTTTGTCTACACTTGAGGTTAGATGTTAATAAATGAAAAATCTGCCAAAGACCAGATCCGTTTTATTACTGTATGTCCTGATATGATAAACCATAAAATCGAAAGAGTGGCGCCATCTTTTGATTGATGATTGCTCTCGTTGAATTATTTTGAAGCAGCACGTTGTGACATAAACCGAGACGCGCTTCTGACTCCAACCAACACTTTCTACTTTGGCTCGACAATCTGAACGTGCTGATTCTTTGCAGCTGAGCGTTTCTTACGACTTGTGGCCGCTGATGGAGGTGAGCCTGCAGCTGAGCTCACGCTGGCGTTCGGCGCTGAGCTCGTTCCCTGTGGCGTGTGCGATAAACCAGACGTGACAGAACTCGTGTTAATCAGCGCCGCAGTCACGCCGGCCTCAGAAGACACGAAGAAACCCGCGGTGCCGCTGCCTGGAGGCTCCTCGGTGCTGATGAACATCGGGGGGGAGGTTGTGTTTATCGCAGGTAGGTCAGTCAGCGGGGGGCCTGATGCCTCAAAGTCACCTGGGAAATAAAAGCACAAGTTGCATCACAGCCTCTAAAGTTAATAAAAGCGTCATCACAATGAAAGTTGTTTCTGTCAAACGTTGACACTTTGTGCAATCTCTTGCGATACTGCAAGAACTTGCTCTGTTAACACTTGGACTGTGTGTTAAGCATTACGTTCAACTACTACCACCTCGGCTTTATTCGATATCTGTAACGTTGACTAGCTTAGAGCCGCGTCAGGGTTGGTTAAAGACAATTAGCGGTAGCAGCCATCTTAAATGTATTTTGCCAGCAGACTGACGGGGCTGGCGTTAGTCATTAACGCCAAAGTTTGAGGCAAAGATGTTGCGCAACATGTAGTGCTCGGAGTCTAGGGTTTAAGGTTTCTTTATTTGTCATTCGCACCACATGTACATGTGATGGAACAAAAGTGTGTACACAGGCAGGGCCGGCCCAAGGCATAAGCAAACTAAATGGCTGATTGGGGCCCCAGGGCCACTAGGGGCCCCCCTAAGTGGAAGCACTGGTTTAGGAAGTTTGCAAAGTATTGAGGAAGAAGTACCATAAACAGGTCAAAAGTGTGGGTGAAGGTTGTTTAACATTTTTAATACAGCTTTTGAAAATTATTGCATTCATTTACAGAGTTTTAAGAACTAATTATTCAACTTTAAATTTATTTTTTAAACCATTTCACGTGGTTTCAAGTAATTGTTCGTTTACATTATTTAAGTATTTACTTGATGTTTTATTTTTATTTTATTAATTTCGTCTGTTTTTGCCCAATTTAATTTATTTGTATGCATCTAAGTTGTTTTATCCGATGTTTGTTGTTGATCTGGCCCTGCTAATTATTTTGAACATCATTGTTGCGGTTCCTCGACACCAAAGATAATAAACCAGATGACACGCTTGCTGTAAAATACTTTGTGTTTGTTTTCTTTTGTTACTTTTAGTACCACATGCATATAAGATAATGTCAGCAGAGCTGTCAGAGTTGCAGTGAGTTCATGTCAGGTGGGTGAATGATCTGATCATCTGACCGCTGACTGCAGTAATCCACATTATTAGCTGAAACAGAGGGCCCCATGGGGGCTTGGGCCGGCCCTGCCTGCTCAGAGTCCGTTACATCCAACAAAAGTATAAATTGTAAAGAAAAACAGTAATATGATCTAAGACGTGAACTAAGAAATACACTAAGTGTAGTGAAGGACACTCAGCTACCACCAAACTGCAGCTCAACATCTGTAAAATCTAATAATTACTTTGAGTGTTTCATTAAACCCCCGGTCCAGGAGATATTTTGCTAACGCTTCATTTCGCCTTCACCTTTAGCTGCGTGGCACAAATCTGCCCGTGTCGACCCAAACAACAGCGTCTTTACGCAGCAGCAAACTTCCGTCACCGTGTTGTGGTGGTTTTAACACAGTGTGAAGTGTGGACTTACAGAATGTGCGAGTGCGGTTTGTCTGATGACAGTTGTCTAACCTCAGCTTCCTGTCTCAAGCAACTTTTCCGGACTCATCTATCTACTTAACTGTAGTCTCATGTCATGTCTTCTCTTCTCTATAAAAATGTGGCTATTTCTTTGCATCATTGTGTCCAAATGACCATACATCCTTGTTATTTTTGTAGTGAGTAAATAATTATTCAGTCATGTTTTACTGTTAAAAACTATTTTTCCCTTTCCAACAAAGTTCAGTCAGGTCATCTGGACTTTTATCTTTATTTTTGCTGAGACGTTTCGTCCTTCATCCAAAGGACTTCTTCAGAGGAGACACCCACCTGACTGAACATTGTTGGATTTGTACCTGGATTATTGAGTATGAACTTTGATATTTTTCATTTTGTTTGGGGGGAACTAGAGGCACTAGTTCATGTTACATCCAACCTATTTTTGCAAATGAAATCTCCAGTAATGTTACGCATGTGCAGCTTTTTAAGGGTTTTTCAGGTGCACGATGAGGAAACTTTTAAAGTAGATGTCTATTGCATTTTAAGGGGAGTTTAGGATACTTTTTAAGAGCTTCATTGTAGATGTAAAAGGGGTTACTTGCTGTCTGCAGCTGCTGCTGGATGTTTGAAGTTCTCGTGATTAATAAAGTACCTATATATCAATCTATGACTAACCTTTATCAGCTTTAGCAGCACAGACTTAATTTATATGAATGGACACTAAAAAAAGAGCAATTTATCGTCTCCATTTTCATGTTTTTACATCATTTTATGTAGATGGATAGGGGAGTGGTGGCGCCGAGGTTAAAGAAGGTGGGCCTGTGAGCGGAAGGTTGCCGGTTCAATTCCCCAGACCAACAACCAAAATGTGGGTGGGAAAGGTGAAACATCCACATTTGCCTCCACCCTTGTTTGCTCCATTCTGGGCCCTTGAGAAAGGTCCCTAAGCCCCACCATCTGCTCCCCCAGGTGCCCTAGATAGCAGCTCTCTGCTCCACACAGAGGGCTGTGGTAGCTCAGTGTCTGTGGTTGAGTCAGGAAGAACATCTGGTGTAAAAATAATCACCGAGTCTTCGTGTGACTTAGTTTACTGTGGCAACCCCTGAAGAAGGGAGCAGCCAAAAGAAGAAGATTTTATGTGGATGGATGGATGGATGGATGGATGGATGGATGGATGGATGGATGGATGGATGGATGGATGGATGGATGGATGGATGGATGAATGGATGAATGGATGAATGGATGAATGATGGATGGATGGATGGATGGGTGGATGAATGGATGGATGGATGGATGGATGGATGAATGGATGGATGAATGGATGGATGGATGG